AACGACGCCGGCGCGGTAACGGTGGTTCCCTACCGGGCCGGCGGTCGCGGTATACGTGCCCGCGGGTTCGATCGGACCACCGTCGGCGGTGGACGGCACGCTCCGAGCTCCGGGGCACCGCGGCGGCGCTACGCCGTTATCAGTGCACGCGGGACGACGTGATCGCGTTCCCGTCCGGCCCGTGATAACGCCGTCCGTTCGCAATCGATACCGTTCGCTTGGAACGCGAGACCCGTACGAACACGCGTTGGCGGCACTCGATCGGGGTGGGGGGAGGTTGGCACCCTCGAGTCGTTCCGCGATCAACCCGCGGTCTCGATTCGAGCCGGAGAGTGTTGTTTCGAAACGGATCGTACTCGCGTTCGCTATACGGCGAACACGTTCCACTTTGTAACCGTAACGCCACTGCAATAAGCGCGCGTCTGATCGACCACGTCGAAACAACGCTAGACCAGTGCCTGATGATTTCAGAATAATTACCATCTGTTTACCGCGCTGTCAGCTCTGATGTTTCACGTGTAACGATTTTTTTCGTGTTATCATTTTATTCGATTTCATTCGACGTTTTGTGATTCGTAGTTTGCGTTTTAAAATTATATCTGTTACGGACATGCCGAGTAGGAAGTGAGCTCCTCCTCCACACTTACGGTTTACCTTGGGGTAAAAGGTTATGGAATTCCCAAGTTTTGGATTGGATGTGTTATGCACATAAAAGTTATTTCCATTCGATATTAATGACATGTTAAGGTAAAAAAAATAAACATAATATCAATTGCGACGTATTGGCGCTTGTGCATATGGAATCAATAATCGATAACTGCAGATCTCTATAATTCGAAAGCCGTTTCAAAATTTCAACTTTATAGCTTTTTTCGGTGCTAAAACATTGAAAAAATGTTATGACACAACAATTTTTTTGCTTTGGCGCGCGCGTTATTAATGTTCGCAACAAAATTGCTGTAAATCGATTAACGGCTCAAAAACTCACGAAAATTCTTTCGTCGAATATTTATGGTTACCAAAAAAGTGTTTCTGCTACAAATTCTTTATAGAATGAACTTTTGCATTAAAAAAAATCGTTCGTTATACTTTTATATTTATATAATAAAATTTGTATTTTATATGAATAAACATCAATATCATTAACAAGGGTGGCCGACCCCAAATAGTCGGGAGAAAAACAAAGGAGAAGAAGAAACATTGGCTATTTTTATTTAGTAATTTGTTCATTTTTGGTTCTTTTTGTCTTCATTCAGCTATAAATACACGTTGCATTGATATATATAATATTGCAAAATTATATTATATTTTTGTGGTGTGCAGTCTTTAATATTGAATTCAATGATTTGATTTTCTAGCACCATTTTCGAAGCGTTCCATATTTCACCCATGGTGTAACTATTTGGTAGGAATCCGATGTTTTAACTATCGTTAAGTTTTTGTAATTTAATTCATTAGGGATAGGTGTAGAAGTTTTAATTTATAACGTCAACACACCGGGTGTTTTGCACCCTACGCATTTGTGTAGCCACATTGCCTACACTGGACGCCGTCCTCTAATACAGCTTTTTTTCTTCTGTCTATTTACTCTATCTATTTTTTTATATTCGCCAAAAGAGGCATTCATTTATATGAAATATATGTTTACTTAAAGCTAAATTTATAATATAATTATTTGCGTTCGTGTATTTTTGATTTTTTAATAACTATAATATAACTATTATAATGTAGTCTAAAATTAAATTTTTTTAAAGATTAACTACAGTTTATATAAAAATAAAAAATAATACTAATTAATAAAAAAAAATAAAACGAACTGGCTAATGACATGAAAATTTAATTAAAATTCTAATGGGCCATTAATGAAGTGTTTTCTTCACACACCATTCATGTTGAATATTTTCTCGTACCCACATAAAATGTATTTATTGTTTTAGTATTAAAAAATTACGCAAAAACTATTGTAAACACACAAGAAATAAAAAAAAAACACATTTACAACGTGGTAACGTTATTAATTGATTTATTTACTTCTCACTAGCGGTTACGGCTGTTGTTATTCACACGTTTGCCGTGGCAATGGTTTTTTTTTCATTTAAACCAACACACTCACTAATCTTGCTGACGTTTCGCCAGAAGGCAACGTCGTCGCCCCGAATCAGTCGCGATTCTTTTGTACAAATTAAAAAATAATAATAATAGTTATAGCAATAATAACAATGAATAATATGGAAATACTAACAATCGATGACTAAATACGATTATTTTTAATTTATAGTTTAAATTCAGTACACAAGCACCATACGTCTATTGTTACATCAAGTCATTGTTAAAAAGAAAACAAAAAAATAACAGGAAAAATATTTGGGTCAACTTTATATTTCAATATTATTCCACCTCTCACACGTGTACGTGGTAATTATTGTAAGTACGTCAAACGTGGTGCATTTTGTTTTTGTTTTTTTTTTTTTCATTTTAATAATAACTATACGAAAAATCAATGTATGTAATCATATTTAATGACTAACTCGTACAAAAGTTCACTACTCATGCACTGAACACTGCTGTGTGTATCGCGAATACGATATTATAAAACGTCATACAACAAAGTCAAAAAGTCATTCGCAATCTTAAATATTCAACAATATCGAAACAAATACCGTTAGTTTAATTTTATTGCTAATGTCACTCAACAAATCATTTTTGAATTATGCATTTCAATGGCAATAATGGCAGTGGATATTTAAACCCGCGTACCGAACAAATCTATAAACCATAATGACATATACGATTTGTGCCAGGTTTGTATCCATATACGACTATTGCGGTATATGAGAGTAAGTAGGTGGTACACAATTTATAGATTATCAATTCGTGGACAAATGTGGAATGCTAAAAAAAATAAAAGGATAAAAGGAACTGACGTTACCACACATCATGAATAATATAGATCACCAATAAAATGTAGACCATACAATTTATATATATAATAACAACCGTTAACAGTATCATGTTAAAGGAAAGCTATGTATAACTATTTCACATATATTACTTATAAAACAGCCATCAGGTGGTGTATTTTATTTCGACAGCACGAGAGAACAAACGCTAAAATATGATTTTTATCTCGTGTTACAAACTATTATTGAGTTTAAATAATTCAAGTATCATAATTTATGTATTGCGCTGTACGTATATACGTAGGTACTCGACCTAGATGTGGATGTTTTATGAATTCAAATTAAGTTCTCGTATTAATGATTCGAGTGTTTAAAAAAAAAATAAATAAATTATGCGCATATATTTGTTGTGCCACAAATCAATAAATAATAATATTTACTCTTGATCGTGGTTATTATACAAAAATTATATATTATGTATTTAAATAAGAATAATAAATTAATAAAAAAATATCCAAACAAATAATATAATTAAAAAAATCATTGTCTTAACCTATTAAAATATTGAATACAAGTATATTTTAGTTAAAGTCATTTTGAACTAAGAACTATTGAGTTACGGTTTTATTGACTTCGAGTGTACCTAATAATAACTTTTTAATTCGAAACCGGACGTACTTTATAAATTAAAACTATTGATAACTGTCTAATTGTTAGGCTCTAATATATAGTGTATTAGTAAATTTTTGCAAATTGTTTCACTTTCACAAGCGTTCAGTTTATCAATAATATTAATAACCACTATTGAGCTGTTTAAATGCAATATAATATAAGAAACATAACTTATGACTAATTTATTAAAAAATCATATAATATTAGATTATTAATTGGTCATAATCGTTTATATTGTTTATTTTATATTTAAAATGTGTGCGCATTTAAGTACGTTAACTATGCTGATTATTAAACAAATGTTTATAATTGGAATAAATGATGAGACTAATATAATTTATAAACTAAACAAGAGCCAGCTAATTTAAATATTGAACTAGCATAATAAATTGAGTTTAAAATACATATTTTAACTGTTTAATGAGACCAGCACATAATAGAGAACTGATTTTTTTTTTATTGTTAATTTATACGACATCAGAATTAGTTATTACTTATTCAATGTCGGAATTATGCAATGAAATGAATGTAATTAAAATACAAAACAAAATGGAAATAAAAAAAAAACTTCAGCAATATACGTATAGAATATTATTCCATTGTAATAGCAAACAAACTAAATTAATTGTAGATAAATACATTTCCTAAATGTTATAAAATGCATTGTTTTTATTATATTCACCCAGGTCATTATTGTAAATTTATTATTAATTCAATTTTGGTTTTTTAAAAAAAGACAGTAAAATTTTTATTAGTACTTAAATAAATAAATATTTATTATTAATTTATTATTATTGATTTTTGTTATAATATGTATATGTATATGTTATATATTATAATTTTTATTATTATATGATCATTGATTTTTTCTCACTTATTAAAAAACGTATAATTATAAACGGATGATTATACAGTAACAAATAATGCACAATAGCAACGATTATATTGTTCATTATATAAAACGACGTTGACGACATGTTATCTAATAATTAAACACGTAATTTGGCAAACGCGAGTTCTCAACTCATTTTCTTGTAGTCGTACGCAAATAAGAACAAGTATTAATTAAAAATTGCCTGATTCGTTGTAAGATCAATAAACCTCTTCTTCAACGCATTTTCTCATCCACCCCGTTAATTTTCCAACCGTAACTAAAATAAAACACTATTTTTGTTGTTCATTTTGATATAGAAAGTCAATATCAGTAATTTAATTAATTTTTATTTATTTTCATTTAATATGAGTTTTATAGAACTAGTGAGATGTCACTAGTTGATGTCATCGCATTAATTTTCTAAGTAAATATCAACAAAAAGAAAAAAACAAATATTGAGTATTTAATTCTTCAACTTCTCGTGTAAGAATGTAATATTTTTATACACGATAAATTATTCAATTTATTCTACTAGTTATGTTTTAAAATAGAAAATATATTTGAAATAACGTAAAGCAGAGTAATTTTCTAGAAATTTGGCAACGCGGATTGGCGAGTTTAAGATTATACCTCTCATATTAAAAACTTTATTTTCCGACATATGATAAAATAGCAAGAATCGAATAATGTTTTGTTTTAATTTCAAAATTACCACTGAGAAAACGAATGTCAAAAACCTGGGCTTGGGAGTAAAAACATTTGCTTATTTTTATGGATTGACTTAAAATGTAGCAGAGTGCTATAGAAGTGTCTGTCAAGTTATAACACTTACAATTATAAAATTTGAAATTGCTTTTTTTTTTCAGCATTTTTCAAAAAAATGCTTATTTACAGTTTTTCTGATCATTTTTGGTTATTTGACCAGTTTTTTTTACGTTTTTATAGTTTTCTCCTACAAAGTTGTTTTTTATATAATTAAAATTAAAATTAATTACAATCTACGTTGTCACATAGTTCGTCATCATCCAAGGCATTGATGTAGGGTTAACAAAAATATTCTAACGTTGAAAATAGAATTGAGTGTCAAACGTCAGAATTATCAAGAACAGAGAGAACAATTTACATTTTATTTTTCAAAAAAATCCCTTAGAAAATCCATAAAATCCTTAAAGTCTTGAAAGTGAAAATTTATTTTTATTATGTTTGATTTTTTAGTTAGAATTTTATAGTTTTTTTTTTAATAAATATTTTTGTTTGATTTAAAATTTAAAATTTTTATTTTAGTGCTTATAATGATATTTTTAAGCACTTATTTTAATAATTTTAAGTACTATAATTTCCGAGCCCTGGTCATAAAACATAACACATATGTTTATAAAATCGTTTCGTATGTCTTATTTAATAAACAGCTAACCAATCATCACTACATGTGTTGAATGTATTAACGTGCATTATTGCCGATTATTATGACCTTATTGCCGATGTGGAACTAGGAATTTTTACGCCGGGGAAAATTTTAAAATTACGCCCTATCATAGACCAATAATAAAATACTTTTCTTACAAATTGTTTTCTAATAATTAATATACAATCAGTATTTAACAAAGTTAAAAATATCAAAATTGTTGTTAAAAATTACAAAAATTACCCTCTCTAATATTTTACGACCGGGGATAAATTCCCGTCTTCTACCCCTTAGTTCTGCTTCTGTCTTATAGGCTTCTACGTCTTCTACAGTGTTCTAAGATAACATTTGTTCTTGCTGCGATCGAAGGGTATAAATTTTAGTGAGACATAATCGTTATTCGTTTCTCAACCTGGTAGAAGTCAACATATTTTAAGACAGGCACTAGTAGCAAATCGAGAAACGATATTATTTTAAAATTATTTTTCATAAAATGGGGGAAATAACGAAAAATTAACAATAACTGGTCACTTTTTAAAGGTGTTCTACATAATATTTCTCTTGTCAAAAAAAAAAAAAAAAAAAAATGTAAATGAACTATATGTGATTTTGTGGTTTAGACATTCATAAATTCAAAATAAAATAAATTGGAAAACTTCGAGTAACATTAAGAAAAATAAATAACCTACTGAAATAATCGAACATTATCATTCATAAATCGAAACTAGGTCAGAAGTACACCGTTACTGGATATGATGATCAAATATTTATACGTTTCACCTTGATCGCAATAAGTTTAAGTAGAAGAAAAAACCATTATTTACATTTACAAGATTGCACTAAATTACTAACCATGCAGCAGACGAACAAATTTAAGGGGGTAGTGATCACGTGACGAGAACACTATAGGCGGATTTGCGTTATTTCAAGATATGTTAACTTATGCGCACGTGTGTACATCGTATATTATAATAATTAAAATTATTTTTATGATTATTATTACTATTGTTTTTAATATTATCGCAACAATCAGCTACAATGCACCGCTTCGGCGGGCTTTCGTTTCAGATGTGTAAATCGTAATGCGAAGATGGTGTGTGCCGAATGTCCAATGGTCCCAGTTGGTGTTGTGCGCGACAGTGCTATTCCTGCTGGGCGGCCTGCACATTTACAGAGGTCCCAACGGCGAACCACAGACTTTGGACGAACTGGCCGTCGACGAGGACACGTCCGGTTTCGTCCGCACCACACAAGACGACCGGACGTACCGGAGACTCAGGTTCCCGAAGACCAGCAGACGGTTGCCTCAGGTACGAACAGAAACCCAAAACGTAACTGCGAAACGAAACGCCCGTACGACAAAACGATTGCTGCGACCGCGCATCGAATCGCTTCACGAGAACGACACGGAAACCGTCATTTCCGACGTTATGATTTCACCTGCTACCGGCAATTAAATGGTTAACACGTTTCATCGTGATTCGATTATCGCAACAATTATTGTCTTGTTCGTAATCTCTTCGTTTTCTGTCTTTTAAACACGCACGTTGAAAACCTACGCTAAATGTTTTATTAGTTCAATTCGTCTTTTACGCGGTACATATTTTGATTAGATTAGGCGTTTTGGAGGGGAAGAAATGGTCTGTTGTGGCAAAAAGAAAGATGGATAACGATAATACGGATAGCACTCTCACCGGTTGTACAAGAGTAATTCAATCCATAATGTATACGGTCATCGGTAACTGCATCACTGGATTATCGGGGGTGGTTAGAACATTACAGCGCGCGAATTTTTCGTTTGCGTACGTGTATTTCGATATAATGAGAACACATTTTTTAAACTTTCTTAAAAACAGCCGTTTTGTAAGTACGATTTTCTGAAAAAATTTAATTACGTGAATATTTATTAATTTCACACGTATATGGTGATCTTGACTAACCAGTACGATGAATATAAAAGGTGTTTGGGGCTTCAAACCTACAGCATTGAAAAAATCTTAGCTACTCAATAGATAGGTAATTTTAAAAAAAATAATTACCTAAGTAAATCAAACACCTCCCCATAAATAATCTTTACCTACGCCTTTACCAGTACTTACCAGTAATAGCAGAACTAATTGCCGATTATTTTAATCTTGAATGAATAATATAATTAAATTCAATTTTCAAAAAGTTGGAACAATCATGAAGAATTAGTGATTTAAATTTTCTAAGAACTGTCACCACCAGAATTACTCTGAACATTATGTATACGAAATAGCTATTTAGAGTTCTGTATTGGCCAATAGAATATATTATATTTTTATATATTAAATTTAAACTCCAAAGTTATATTCAATATAATTTTAAAGTTCAATTTTCCAGAGCAGAATAAAAAAATTAAGTCATTATTCAATTAATTAGTAATTACTCTTGCCAAATAATTTTGAAATACATTATGTACTTTACTCGTATCTGTTAGTAAGACACAATTGCGTTAGAAAACAATTTAACGTCAAGTAATAAATGTTGAACTTTTTTTTTTTTTTGTAAATCACGTGGTTCGAATTATGCAGTCACGTATTCTTACAGCAAACGAGTGATACATCGAAATATCAGCGCTTGTGCTTATGTGTACATACACGTCGTTGTATAAACACATCAGCTATCACTATTTACGTGATTCGGGCTTTTGATTTGATCCATTTAAGATGTATAGAACCATGCTTCGTCCAATAGCCGTTTATCGTTCCGTGTACTATAATAACATCAAAGTCGAAATTTGTGTTCTATCGATTTCATTTGTACACAACCGCAGAATGTTATTGTTGATATCGATTGTTTTCCGCACTTCCGGTAGAATATAATGAGAATTTATTGAAAAAACAAACACAAGAATTGTACATTTTTCCTCCACGGTTTGTTAGCATCCATTTGTTATCTTATCGCACTCCAACGGTTCTATTTTACAGTGAAAACTTGCGGTTTTCTACTTTGACGCATACAGTCGCTCGTCGCATACGTTACACGCCGGAGCTTCGAGTTGTAATCAAGTTTCGTTATCTGGCCAATTAAACTTTTTTTCTTATCCCCCGACACTCATTTACATTCACACCGGGTCTACGTGTTCGTTGTGGATCGCTTGTGAAATAATATTTATTGTATTTACACGCGCCAACCACGCATAGTAACACCGTCGTCAAAACGCATAATTTAATTACTCAAAGCCACTGTTGGTTTAAAAATCCATCGATGGAAATACATTATAAATATCAATAACATCAACAAGCAATTCCTCTTGGGTACTGAACACAAAACCCTTGTACACTGTTGTTAATACCATAAGTGTATAATACGCAATGTTCGAACGCACACAACGTACGTTTTAACTTCTCGCAGCCGCGCATCGCAACGATACAATTCAGATTGTTTTTACTGTACAAAGTCATCGAGCGCGAGGTGTTGTTTTAATAACAACATAATATTTTATTCGTATGTTTTATAAACTATCGGACAGAAAGTTCTGTGTTCCCGGGATTAACTTTTTCCGTATCATTCGGGAAACCTATTTAATTATTTACGGATGTTAGTTCACGGATGTGTAAAAACTGTCAACTACTAAAATACAATTAATACGTTATTCTGTTAGAAACTTTTTTCTAAACATTACCGAAACATATGATTTTTTAAATATTTTTCGGTACATTATGTGATTCATTATTTTTATTTTTATTCTTCTATAGAAACACGTCGATAATCGATTTTCAATGAATTACAGTTGTCGCGCATGAAAATTGTCGCAAAGTTTTATTCGGGGTTTTTTTAAATTTATATTTACCAGAGGAGGCTACATAATAACTTCAAATCCTAACTCATGGTAAAGTATAATATGATACGATAGTTTCACGTACAGTATTATAAAACGTGAAGGGTTTAACGATAAAAATATTATACATTTATATAGCAATACGGATACGTATACCGAAGTTATCAACATTTGTAATATTTAAATTTTTTGCGGAATAAAAATGTGTGAACACGGAATCCGTATGTATTCCTATATAGCTGCAGTAAAATGTATAACCGAACACGCGTTATTATTAAGTTACATATGAAACGGATTTCGTACAAATCGTATATATATATTACGAAGAAACGAACTTTTCACCGTACACCCGACAAACCACATTACATAGATTTACGTGTTCAGAATAACGATTGAATATGGTCGAAGCTGTCTAATACGAAAACTGAATAAATTATTTCATCATAAAAAATATACATATGTATATATTTACCCATATATGTATATACAAACGTGGTACTACATACGTATTATATAAACTATAAACCGATAAAACGTGTTTACTCAATGAAACATATGGTAATGTATACCAAAGCAATAATGTATGCGCAAGAAATAATATTATTCTTTAATAATGTAATGCACGTCAATAAAAAAAAAAAAATTAAAAAGCATACTAGTATAATTTAATACAATATATTAATTAATTGGAAAGTCGGTAACTCCAATTCATGAACTATAGCGATTATTCGAATGTAGTTTTTTAATCTCGTAATTGAATGGCAGCTTATCTTTAACAAAAAATTTAAAAATTATAAATTTATATTTTCATAATTTAAGTTAACATATTTGTAAATTTTGTAAATGTTTTTGAAAAAAAAAAAAATTATAAAATGTTAAATAAATTAGAGAAATTTATAGCACAAGGAAAATGAATTTTTTTTTTAAATTTTAACGTTTTCCACACTTTAATGCAAGTGTATTAATTTTAAATGTATCTTTTTAACTATTCAATGTGACTAATTGAACTACTTTAGATAATTCAGTTTCATAAGCCCATGATTATGGTAATGAAATTAGTGGTATTTGGAATATCTCACACATACTATTAACAATCAAAGACTTTACAATATTATTAAAAACATGAAATATATTCAATATTTTATTGGTATGTCCATAATAATTAATACGAATGCATTGGTGGAAAATCTGTTAATTAGGGTTTTTTTTTTGATCAATTTTCAAGTAACCAATTTTAAGGAGTATTAAGTACCGGGGCTAATTAACATTTTTGAAAATTTACATTATTTTTAGTACTATTTGCTTTAACTACTCATTAAAATTTCAAATAATTTCAAATTTTTATTAATTTCCTTTTTTTATACACCATTATTACCCAACTTTACAAAATTACTATATTTAAATTTTAAAATTAAAAAAAAGCTTTTACGTTTTTTAATTTTTTTTTTTTTAAGTCGTTATAAAAAATATTTTTCATATTTATAAATGAAAGCATTTTTTTTTTTATTTCGAGAAGGGTAGTCACTATACCGTTAAACCTTGATAATTATTTTTAACAATTAGCAAGTTAACTACACAGTTTATCATAATTGAAATTAAAGTGAATTACAATAGAAAAAAAGAAATAGAACAAAAGTGTCTGCAATGTATGGAATTGGAAATTAATTATTTGAGATTTAAATATTATAGAGGTAAATGGAATTTATCTTCAAAAAAAAGGCAAGTGATCGCATTATTTAACATTGAGCTTATTGTAGGAAAATCTTCGTCTTTTTAACAAATGGATCTTGATTTCTGTAAAATTACCGAAACGTGATATTTATTTTGTTTTAAATTGGTCATACAGTATCACCTATAATTATTGCAACGACAAGGATTAATCAAAAATGTAAATGTCCATATATCTGTGTCCATCAGTTCCAATGAATACGAACAATATTTGTAACCCGAATAAGTGCAGACGGCTAGAACATTATAAAACGACTGCGAATAACACTGATTATTGTTATCCGCCGTGCAATTATTTTTAAATCGACCGTACGATCAGTTATGATTGTTACGAATTGATACACAATGGTATTAGTATTTCTTCGTTCGAAAACGAATTACCACCGACCGACGGGTATTAGCGGAAAAACGAGAGAGAGTATTTCCTTCGGGAAAATATAAAAAAAAAAAAAACCACTAGAACTTTATGTAAAAAAAGTTGTACTTTAATTTTAAATTTCATTTCATTTCGATAATTTTTTTCTTTTTTATCAAATCGTGTATCTTATCGATTTTATATTATAGTTTATACACGTCTTTCATAATATAATATATTATGTACGAAATACCGTTTTTCCTATCTGTTGTACCGACCTCTGCTGTTGTCAAATAACTTCGGAGATCTACTTCTTACTCGCTACATGACTAATAAGTCAAATAAGTCTATTTGTGTTGTGTCCTTATGATTGCCATCTAATAAATTATGACATATTTAAATTGTGACCATCGAATACGATC